GAGGCCGCCGCCGCTGGCTCCGTGTCCTCCAGTGAGGTTGTCCCCGCGGGCTGGAACCTTTGCACCGTCGTCGGGGTGTTGCTGGGCTACCCTGCGGCGTACGCCTTCGCCACGGAGGATGACACTGAGAACTGCCTGGCACTGACGCCGCTGAGGGTGTTCACGGTCCAGGCCTCCTGCCCCAGGATAAGGGATGGTCTGAGGGTCCAGATCTACTCCTTCAGCATCCCGGAGAGCCTCTGCGCGGAGCTGAGGGAGGCGCTGGGCGCCTGGCAGGAGGAGCTGACAGAGGCCTTCAGCACACAGAGTGACTTTGTAGATCTCCACATTGCGAGCGAGGTGGTGTCCCTTCCAGCGGTTGCCTTGTAAAACAGAAACTGAGGCTTTTTGGCCAATTTCTCACTTGCATCAGGGACTGAGGTGCAGATCTGGCTCATCCACAGCCCACTGAGGATCTCTCATGAGACCCCTGAACAACAAAAGCTGAATTTTTATGATCTTGGGCCCTACTCCTTGTAGGCCAGTTGCAAATCAAACGTGTACTTCCCCGAAGAGCAGTGCATGTGTATGCACCCTCAGCTGCTCTGCAGCCTCCAGCCAGACTGTGGAGTGTGCCCTGTGAGTTCAGGGTATATTTATTTGCTCCAAACAGCTGGGGATTAATAAATTTGAATATCACAGTATTCTGAATTTTTGAAGTTTATTGTAGTTGCCATATCCTGTTTACTACTGGTGCGATGTGTTGTCATGTACCACCTGATAGCTGAGCCTGCGCTTGAACGAGGGGCAAGAGCTGCTGTGAAACCTGCACACTGCAGCTCCAAAAGAGGATAAACCCCTGTGGAACTGCTGTGGTGCTGGCAGTGGAGGAGAAGTGGACGTGGCTGTGGGGATGCTTGGCCACAAGACAGGCTAGAAGAGCTGAACTGGGTCTGGAGGGCAGGAGGTGAGAAAATGGCTCAGGGCAGGCAGTCCATGGGGGGAGTACAAGTTAACTGTGCTAAAAAGCCTCCCTGAATTTGGTTTCTTTGTTAGGTACCATTGAAAAAAGTCCAGGGTTGAATACCTTCCATTTAGGGAGGCAATAAATAGAGGAAGAGAATTTTGTAGTCCTCTCAGCCACTGGGCATAAAAACTGGGGAAGCTGGATCCAAAGGGCAGGGGATCCCTGTCCCTACTGCTCCTGTGAGCACCAGCACTGGTGGCTGGAGTGCTTTTGTCCCTCAGCACCATGGAAACTGGGCAGTACAACCTTCAACGGATGCAGAATAACCAAAGCAGCCAAGAGCAGGGGTGATTTCCCAGTGTTTATTGGAGCTGTCAGGAGAGTTTGTCAGGAGAGGAACCAAACGGGCAAGGACAAAGCAGCAGAAGGTGCGCTGTGGTGAGGGGACGTTGCTGCTGGTGAAGCAGAAGTCAGTTCCTGCAGTGAAGTCAGTCATCAAGAAGGTCCTTCATGGTCTGTAACTGGCGAGGAAAGTGGCTATGGCCATTGCTATCACTGCCACCAGGAGAGGGATCCAGTGACCGTGCTGTCTCTGCAAGGAGAAGCATGTTACTAGGAAACTGCTGGGGAGAAGAAACCCCTCATCCCATCCCTAGCAAACATGCCGTTCATCTTCCTGCACTGCACGAATGAGCGAGGGGATTTCTGCCAGACCGACCTGCGGCCCGGTCCGAGAGCCCTG